TGTATCTCCATAAATGTGACAAATAATAACAACATATTATATGCTAATATTATAAGTGATAATATAATATTACACATTATTATTTAAAGTCTGTGCCTACACCCAGAGAAAAACCTCGATCTATATAATAAAATCATTGTTCAATTTGATAAATATATCATTACTATTGAATCAATGATATATTTATCAATATGATATTTTTTTTTCTTGTCTTGAACAATAATTATTTATAAGAATAGTTATTTTGTTCGTATTAATAAAACATTATCATAAACCCTTGATAAAATTTCTCTTTCAATTTTGATTGAGGTTTTTCTTTGGGTATATATTGTGGTTTCTGGCATAACATGACCGTAGTATTTTTTTCCAGTTTATCTTCAAACCACTTCTGCATCACTTCTAATACAATTTTCATATTTTTTTTTTTTAATCTTATCGATGAGTATTATTATTTTAATAAATTTTACTTATTTTCGTTTAAATAAATAAATAAATTTCAAATAAAAATAATAGCGTTATTTCAAATGCACAGTGTCTATACAACCATCTATAAATCATCTTAAAAATAGGTTAATTATAATATAATTATACAGCCTTAAAATAATCGATTTATCATGAAATACTTGATTACTCACAAAATAAATATAATATTAGATAAAAAAAAAAAATTTATTTCTTGATTTATGAACTAAAAACTAATTTTTGGACTCGTCCTTCATAACGTAAAGGTGTCAACATTATTATTTTAAATAGTAACTTATATTAACGCATAAGTTGGCATATTCACTTAGATTCTAAATAATATGAAATACGCATTATTAAAATTATCAAAAAATGTTTAGTAAATATATGCATATATGAAATGTTTTTTATATCTGTGAACGATTATAGTAACAGGTGGTTCGAATATCTAAGTTTAATTTTATAACTTTAATGTAGTACACGAGTTTCTACAAAATATTTCTATTTCTTTTGTTTCATAAAATGAATTTCGAGAAATCTAAAATTAACATATGATTTTAATCAATTATGTGGAATTAAGACAGATTAACTTGTTTTAAAACTACTTCATTAATGGAGAAAAAATTGTGATTTATAAAAATATAAATAGGGAATTTTTTTATAAAGATCATTAAAAAATGCAATAAAATTATATGAAACTAAATTTTATTATCAAACATTTGATTTGACAATAAATAACAATTAAATTTAATTAAAAAATCTATTTATTCATTTTATTCTGCCTACATTTTTCTTAGTTACGTAATTATAAATATTAATTATAATCATTTAGTAGTAACATGTGAATCAATGTAATTTATTATAGTATACGTGTAATGGAACAAAGTACATAATTTATGTAATTATTTTAGTTGAGCCGAATGCGTGCCGTGACAACGTTTGTCATCTTAATAATTATGATAAGATAATAATTATGAGTTGTTTGTGTTTGAAATGATCAGCTGTGTACTACTTAGGACTGTTTCGTGTTTTCTATCTTGAACGTCATTCGCACTACTCACCTCCTGCATTGTCACCTAATGATAAATATTAGTTATGGTTTTCTCTATAATTTCTGGCATTGAGTTTAATTGAATTTTTTGACCCCTACCTCTAAAAATTATTTAAATAAAAGAGATTTAAATTATAATTAAATATTGGTTACTTCTTTGCTCGGTCGTTAAACTGTCTCTGTTGTTTCATTCTACACCCCTATTAGTCTCACTAATGAATAATAATGAAACATTTGTTTTTTTTTTTTAATTTGAATCGCTAATTAACATAATCAAAATTGAAGATTTTAATGCAATAATCAATTTTTTAATATTTTATTATAACTTTTATCAATTAAACAAAGATCACTTAGAATCTCGAAAATTGTTTTAATTGAAGCACTTTAAATTTTGACGTAATGAATTTTATAATTTTTGTTTTACTTTATTAGATATCTTAAAATCCAATTCTTCGCCTAATAAATTTACATTTGTAACGAATTGGAAAATACATGATATGATTGTAAAATAATACTGAATAAATTATTTATTATTGCAATTGGTTAATTTAACATCATACTACTAGTAGATTTCAAGTATAAAATGAAAGTTACAAACTTTCATAATTAAAAACTTCATTTTCTGCTTTTCAATAAATATACAAATTTCTAATTCTAGTAATAATTTTTAACCTTAAAAGACTTGAAATTAACCACCTCTCATCTAAATTTAAAAAGAGTAAATTGTAATTTTCAAGTAGTCATTTATAATCGTATTGCTATACATTTTTACAGCGTGTTTTTACAGACCAATCTATTATATAACATAAAAGGAAAACTATATTAACAAAATTACATATTCTTTTATTGTAAAAATAAAAAGCATATAATTTTTATTATGAACGATGTTCAAATATATGTTTCGATTATATCAATGTCTTACAAAAACGAATAAAGTTATGTTATTAATAACAATAACCATTACTGACATTGCTAGGCGTAATTTTTAACTCGCATATTTATACATTTTAGTTATTTAAGTATTAATAATAAATATTGGTGAGTATAAATGGAATGCCGTTTTTCGACATTTATATATCAATCCGTTCCCTAATTATGCTACTATTTTTTATATTATCGTTTTAGTTGTAAATCCTATAAAAAATATTTACATATTTTTAAAAAGTAAACAGGTTATCCAGTTGATTTAATTATAAAAATAAATAATGATAAATAAAATATCCTGGGAAAAATTTGCGTAAAATATAATTTAATGTGTGTGTGCCAATCAATTGTCGCCTTAAAAGAGCTACGAAAATATATTGTCTCCTAAGTAATTAAAACTGTTAAAACTATTTCATTAGAAATTGTTTAAATAAAAAAAAAAACGCAGCACAGGGGGGTCGCGGCACAGTGGTGACGTGGCACAGTTGGGTCAAGTATAATGATATCTGACAGTGATTAAAATCACTATCATAAAAAACGCTTCGATGCAAATCATTAGGTCCGATTTAAAAAAAAAGTATGTCGAATGAAAGATGTATATAAATACTACTTCTCATGAAAATATTGAATTGATCCATACATTTTTCATAAAGTTATAGCATAATAAAATTAAAAATGTACACAAAAATAGCATTCGGTAGCCATTTTCACCATGAAGACAAAATAAAGTCTGAAATTTTTTTTTTCCATAATAATGTACATTACATTAGCTTTAATTTAAGATATATATAAAAATGTCAGACTTTCCGGAACATTTTCAAAAGTTAAGTAGAAAAAATTAATTTTTAGTGAAAAAGTTGTCATTTTAAATTCCCCCCTGTGGGCAGGTAAAGGGTCAAATTTATAAAAAAAAATATACCAAATGATAGGTAAAGACATCGAGCATCTATAAAAAATTATATTGATTTGTTCATTTTTTAAAAAGTTATGGCAATTTTAAAGAAAAAAAATTGAAAATTAGCGATTTTTAAATATGTAACTTTTTTGGAGGTTTCTACCATTTACGGGAAACGAGGGAAATTTTTTCAATTTTTGAGGGTAACATCTTCGACTAGATACGATTTGTGATCTTTTGACGTATCGTTGGAAGAAATCCGTTCGGTGAGAGCTGAGAAAAAGTGGTAACAGACACAAAAAAAAAAAAAAAAACACATCTTAGTAAAACCAATACCTTCTGTCGTAACTCAAAAATATAATATAAAATATAAAAATATACAGGCTGTTCAGTAAGTTAGGAAACAGTTAAATTGTTACAAACAATGAGTACAATAGAAATTCGTTTCCTTATTTACTGAACACCCTGTTTATTAAAGGAAAGGGTCAGAATAATAATAGTTGTTATTAGAAAATGGAAGTGAGAGTTACTTTTGATTCGGGATGTAATTCGAGGGTCATAAAATAACAATGTAAAAAAATCTTACCTGGCAAATTCTCTGGTTCTTATAATTATCCTTAGTGATGATATCGGTGAAAATGATAAATAAAGTACACAAGTTCAGATTTTTAGTTCACAAATTAACACATAAAATTTCGACAATGACGATTACGACGTTCGCACAACTTAATACGGAGCACGATAAAAAAACAGCCCAATACAGAGCACGAAATGAACAGCAAGGAGCAAGGGTTTGCTCTAGCTTTTTATAATAATTTTACCCCCAAAAATCGTCAGTGTCGAATTTTTAGTATAATTGTTTATTGATGAATAAGCATGAAACACAGAGATCAATACAGATGAATAGAACATACATTATTTTGACATTTACATATATAACATTAACATGTTTTTTTCACAAGTAAGACGAAGATTAATACAATGCATTTAACTATTAATAGTAAAATAACAAAGGTAACAAAAATAATATATAGGTTTTCTTTTGGTGAGGAAGGATTTTAAAAGTAATTATTAATTGATTTATGACCGAACCGCATATACTACAATGTAGCCAAACAGTGTGAGTTTTTTGACTATTTCTCTTAAATGTTTATTTAAGATTTTGTTCGAAAAGGATCATGTCTTTGTAAGAATATAATGTATAATGAAACAAGTTAAAATGTACCATTTCTATGGATAGAAGTGGTGACTATTTGAATTGAAAAAAGAATATATTAATAAATACTAAAAAGATAGCATTGTCTAGTACATGAACAGAGTATTTTAGTGTTATCCCATATAAATAATAGTGACGATTATATTACGACACTTCCAGCTTCGCATCGAAGCTAAAATATTTATTTGATACAAATTGCTGTTTTTTTTTATTTATTAAAACTAAATTAACTAATTGTGATATACTAATTATACAATCTGAAATATTATTATAGTTTATGCTGTGAAATTTTTAGGAGTGGTATTTTACATTATATTGTAAATTCTGTAGCGTCACAATTCACAAAAAATTATTCGTTATGTTAAAGTCTTGCACACATTAAATATTAGGATTGTATATTGACTCTTAATAAATAATAATTTTGTTAGCATTCATTTAAACATGGACACGGTATGAATAATAAAAAGAAATGAGTATTCTAATTTTTTTATTGCTCTGTAATCTTTTATTTTTACATTTATTAACATGAATCCGGGACTAATTATTTTAACTTTATCTTTAATTCAATGCAATATAACCTATGTAAATGGTAAATTAAACTATAAATCGTACTTAAATTATGTAAATAAAGTAGTAGGTCATATGTGTATTCAAAATGGATGGAAGTCAATGGAAAAAATATATTTAAACTTTGATGAATCGAGTGCACCTATAAGTGTTCCAGATTTAATGGTGCTAAAATTCGACACCGATAATGTGCTAAGTATTTTTTATAAAATGTTTCATATTTTGAACTACAAGTATAACCAAGTGCTTTTAACATTCGTGGAATTAATAAATATTGTTGTTGATACTTGTATAAACTTTTTTAATGATGAATTATTGGAAAATTTTAATAATTGTACAGAATCACTTGCGAAAGAAATGGAAAATTCTTTGACAATGATTGAGAGTTTATACAATGCCATTACATTTTTAAGTTATATAGACTTAAACGTGAGAAACCATAAACTTATCTTACTCGATGTAAAAAGTGTCCCGTTCACTTTAGTTGACGGCATTTATGAGATAAAAAACCACACATATTTTAAACAACATCAATACAAGATTTCCTATGTCAATCTTCAAGCAATTCTAGATGTTAAAGAGTTCATTGATTATATATCTAAAATTGCAAATAACTTTCTCGAGAAAAATGAATATATTATAGATACTAACGATGAAATTAATTTAAAATCTAAATTGTTTACAGAATATTGGACTAGCCACACAGATTTCACAGGTTTCATACGTTTCATGTATCATAAGATAAATTCGTTTTACAATGAAACCATTAAGATTAATTACGAAGGCCTTGGATTTATTCAGTTGATAAATCCAACAAATATTTAGTAAATATAACTTATTTATTGATTCCTATATTTAAGAGTATTCTAAAATTAACATAAATTTCTTATTCCTCAATTACATCGGGGTCAGTAATTCTTTAATTTATAAGTATAATATATGAATAAATACTAATTATAGTATTTAAATTTAGTATGAATTTGATATGCCATAATTTAATATTATAATTTTTTACGGAGAAGCTATAAAAAATAATAATAAAATATTTGTACAGCATAATACGTCACGTTCGGGACCGGCTCCGTGCCGGACTATCGAAAATTCCGGTCTATCTGGCGGTGCCCTTTCCTTTTAGTGTAGGCTTTGCTATAAGAACAATTAGGTTAATAATTAAACTAAAAATACGGTATGCAAATACAAAAAAGTTTGTTTTACATTTCATATAATTTATGTGCAAGTACTGTAATACATATTTCATTTAGATTTAAAAAAGTCACGAATGTCTTTTTGTTTTCTTGACTTTTGGCGTTTAGTATAAAATTTATATCTAATATGGAGATCAATAATTTCTGAAGCGCTGTAGCTAGTACTAAAACACAGTTTACTACAATGTAAAAGGACACAAAACATCAACGCACAAAAAAATAGCGAAGACGCTTCGTGAATGATTAACTGTACTGCACTGCACCCGTATTTGTTGTGATAGCTGAGACTAGCCGGCCGCTAATCGTTTCCGAACAATACTGTTGAGGCCGTTTAATACAACTTCCTGTTATCAAATTTTAAGCGCGCGTTCATTGTACTCGGACCGGTCTAATTTTGTCCTATATGTATATATGATAAAATTAGACCGGTCCGAGTACTACTATTATACTATACTACGTATTGTTGGTTATTAGTTTTCTGCTCTATTGTTAATTCGTCCGGATGATCCCGAATACCCTGAAAACTTCCGAATATCTCCTGATCGTTTTTATTTGCTTTAATGGCATTCTTTTGGAGAAAACCAAAATGTTTACAATTTTCCGGCGCGATGCCGGACTATCGGGCATTCCGGACTGTTGGATGCCGGATTATTCTACTGTACACTGGAAATCTTATAGTCTTTGGGAAAATCACTGAATTCAAATAACTCACTGCCATCTTCACCAACGAGTATTTTTATATTTTTCCAATAATTCTCAAGCTATCAATTTTCTCAAAAACTTTATTCAGTTGAGTAATAATTGCTTTCCCGTGATTGCCTTTTACCGTAGAAAATGTCTGTTATACATTTAGAATCACTGCTAGTGAATCACATAGTAAAACGTCTTTTTAGCTCCGATGCGAAGCTGAGAAGGTATTAATTTTACTATGATGTTTTTTTTTTGTCTCGTTAGACCGATTTTGATGGAAAATATGTCAAAAGATTACAAATCGTATCTAGTCGAATACATTACCCTCAACATTAAAAAAAATTACCTCGTTCCCCGTAAACGGGGAAATCCCCCAAAAAATTACAAATTTAAAAATCGCTAATTTTTGACATTTTTTCAATTTTTTTTACTTAAAATTTCCATAACTTTTTTAAAAATAACCGAATGATTATATTTTTTTTTTTATAGATACCTTAGGTATTTACCTATTATTTTATATATTTTTGTGAACATTTGACCCTTTACCAGCCCACTTCAATAAAGGCTCCCATCACTGTAGTAACCACTCGCGAGAAGAAATTTCTTATTCATATTAAAATTATTTTACTATATTTTAAGTTTTAGCTTCGATTCAAAGCTGAGAAGATATTTTTTTGTAACTATCATTTATTTTCTCTGCTCTAACTTGACCTACTTTTTTCAACGATACGTCAAATGACTACAATTCGTATCTAGTTGAAGATATTACCCTCAAAAATTTAAAAATATATCAATTAAACAGTTACTTATCCCATGTTCTCCATACAGACAATTAAAATCATTCCTTAATCATATTTTCAAAGTATTTATTAACGAATCAAGTTTGATATGATGGTTTCAACTACAAAATTAAATTATTTTACTTTGTAATTTAATAATTTTTTTACTCTATTTGTGTGTACTACTAGTAGACTATAATATTCCAAATTTTTTGGTAACATTTTGCTATATAAATCATTTTTAAAAAAAATGTTTGTTAGTTTTCCTGAATTAACAATGGATTTTTACAAATATAATCAAATTTTATTATACGCGCAATTGAGAAAATCTTTTTAACAACTTTGTTTTGATTGGTTCATTTAGTTAAAGTAAATCATCAAAATTAATTAAGTTCTGAATATTTCAATTCCAAAATCTTTTTAAACGCCAAAATTTATTAGGAAATGATTACTATTACATCTATTTAAGTTATCTATTACGATAAAAATGCAAAAAAATATTGAACTACTCTAATAAATTTACTATAAATAGTAATTATAAAATTTCCTGACTGCATATTAATCTTAACGATACAATTTTTTTAATTCTCATAAAATTATCTATTTAATGATGTCAATTTCAAACTTGCCAATTGAGGTAAAAGTTATGGTAAAATAAATAAATTTTTTTTTACTATAAACTTTCACAAAAATCAACTTTAAAAGATTAAAAAAATAGGTTACATTTGTCATTTTCCATATTTTTAACATATTAATAATCAAAATTAATATTAATTTAAAACAATTTTTTTTTGTTCTTAATTATTTTTTTTTATATATATATAATAATATTAAAACTTATAAGTAATAGAAAAAGCCTAATTGCACATTTGAAAACATCGCGAAAAGTTCATTTAGAAAAGTATATTTTTGTTTCTGATGAAAGTTCCTTGTAGTCTAGTGTATTTATTCATAAGTAACAAAATTTGTTTATTAAAAAGTATTGCATTAATCCCTTTAAATTTTTATACGCGTTAAAAGTATATGAATATACAACTTCTTTTTATTTTTATAATATATCGGTAAAAATTACATTATTATATTATTGAATATCAATTTTATACTAAATTTAATTACTATAATTATTATGTATTCATATATTATAATTATAAATCGGGATAAAATTAAGGGAATAAGAGTTATGGTTGCTTTTGAAATAATCTACCAACCACTTAAAATTAAACACTATCTACAGATTTGCATCGAAGCGTTTCTAATGATAGTGGTTTTAATTACTGTCAGATATCATCTATACTTGTCCCATCGATGCCTCGTCCACACTGTGCCACGACCCCACTGTGCTACCGTTTTTTATTTTGTAGTTCTATAATGGCTTTGGTAAGAATTTCAATATTACTTTTTATATAAGCCAAATTGGCTTCAAAACCTGGTTTCACTATACATATGTTAACTGTTTTGATACTTTTTATGGGGGAGGGGGTAGGGATAAAGTAAAAACTGTCATTTTTTTTTCTAAAAATGGTCACCCTATACTAAATGGCTATTTTTAAATTACAAAAAAACACATTAATACTTTCTCAGCATCGCATCGAAGCTAAAACAAATAATGAAAAAAACATGATATTGACGTAGTTAATTAATTCGTATATTATTAAAAAATAAAATTATAGCAAAATGTTGCATCCGAAGTGATGTAAGTTTTCAGGAATTACTGGCCACCTGTATATTATGTTTATATTTTATTAAATAGATAACATTATATAATTAAACAAATAAAATTTACTAATCTCAAATCATTTTACTGATTTATCCTAATTTTTGTACAGTTTGAAACCTCCTACTGACAAAAATATTAATCAAGAGATTGGAATCACAGCACTCAATACATTACTTATTAATGGTAATTGGAGTTCATTTAGTCACATAGAAATACAACAAGGTGATTCAAAAGTAAGTGTGAAACTAGTGATAAGAGACCTGGCGACAGATCACAATTTTTATGTTAAAAAAACTTATTTCACACAAATGATAAGATGTAGATTTTTTGAAGTGCTTTTAATTTACAACACATCATTATCTGCTTTAAAAAAAATATGTAAAAATGCAAAAGGTCAATTAGGCTTAAATGATTATATGAAATGTGCGACACGTCTATTTCAAGCAATTAATAATACAGTGAAAATGTTCGATTTTATGATGACAATTATAGAAAAAATAAAACTATCATCAATTTGGCAGCACAGTAGATCATTATCTGATTTACTGTCAACTCAGAAATTAATATATAAATACGTGTTTGATCTTAAAACTAGTAATGTAGTACGAGATTGTTATGTAAAAAAACCTGAAGAATATACTGACAAATTAGCTGATGATTACATTAAAAATGTTGAATATGCAAGAAGTAGCTTTAGCAAATTGCTACTAACTAAACAACAATCAAATAATAATGGCTGTTATTTTGAAGACATAACGGTAACTAAGAAAGAACTGGAAATTAAATTTCAAAATATTGCAAACCATATTAATGCAAACATTTCACATGACGCACATATCCGCGTGTATGAGCTAATTTCGAAATATTTATATGACTATTGTGAAAATTTTATTAAAACTGATTACGAAAATACAGGTTTTAATAAAATATATCAAAATTATTTTTGGCAATGGGCATAGTTCATTTTTGTTTATAAAATTAAAATATAACAATTAAATTGTCGTAATATGTGTCTTATGTTAAATTAAAGTTATTCTGGTATATGAAATAGAGTTTTTTCTATCAAAATAAGTTCAATATAATTTTAAGTACACTCTTCAAAAAACGTAAAAAAATACTAGAATTTATTTTTTAACTATTACATTGTTATATGTTCATTCGATAAATGAAAACTTCATTTAATTATGATCATCTAGAATGCTTTTGAAATTTAAAAAAACCCAGCACAGGGGGATCGCGGCACAGTGGTGACGTGGCATAGTTGGGTCAAGTATAATGATATCTGACAGTGATTAAAATCACTATCATAAAAAACGTTTCGATGCAAATCTTTAGATAGTGTTTAATTTTAAAAAATTGATGGATTATTCCAAAAGCTACATGATCTGCTAATTCCTTATTTATATCCTGATTAAGATAAAGTATGTCGAATGAAAATAGGATATAAATATTATTTCTCATAAAATTGTATTGATCCATACATTTTCTAAAAAGTTATAACATTTTAAAGTAAATAATGTAAAATATAAAATCGAGAATTTTCACATAAAAATAGCATTCGGTAGCGATTTTCACTGTGAAGACCAGTCCAGATGTCAATTTTTTTTTTCCATAATAAATTAAATTACATTAGCTTTAATTTACATTATATATATTAAAGTGTCAGACTTTCTGGAACACTTTCAAATGTTAAGTTGAAAAAGTTGTCATTTTGAATCCCCCCTGTGGGCAAATAAAGAATCAGATCTATAAATAAAATACACAAAATGATAGGTAAATATCTCATGTATCTATAAAAAAAAATTATATTGATGTTCATTTTTGAAAAAGTTATGGCAGTTTTAAGAATGTCGAAATTTATCGATTTTAAAAATCGTAATTTTTTCGGAGGTTTCCCCATTTACGGAGAACTAGAGAAATTTTTTCAATTTTTGAGGATAATGTCTTCGACTAGATACGATTTGTGATCTTTTGACGTATCATTGAAAGAAATCGTTTCGGTGAGAGCTGAGAAAAAGTGGTAACAGACACAAAAAAAAACACATCATAGTAAAACCAATACCTTCTCAGCTTCGTATCAAAGCTAAAATATTTGTTAATTATACAGCTGAATTTGAAATATAAATCGGTTATTTCATTATAATACTATAATATATTAACGCAATTTAAATATTTGTATTTTATTACAATATTTCTATGCCTTATTATTAGAAAAAAATGACTATGTATCGTGATAAAAAGATATCCTTTATTTTTTGAATATTTTGTAAATATTTCATTTATATTTTATTTTTATTGAACTGACTAAGTTGTTAATGAGCTTGAAGACGTGTTCGTTGATGTTCCATTTCTGAAGAGTTGAAAATATTTTGTATTTTCACACTGAGCTTAGGCATTTTCATTGTTATAAAATAGATTTTTTTTTTTTGAGAAAGCGTCTCAGATTTTGATGTAAATTATTGTTAGTAGATTAATTATGAATCTATTTTTCCGAAACCAAAAAGAGAAGAGGAGTCACTAGGGGTTTTGTTTCGAATTCCCCACGTCAGTTGATTTTTAACATGTTTTCGAGTAATCTGCTTATAGTATTTAGAAGAGATATTGATCTATAGTTATTGACTTCAAAAATATTTTTATTAGGTTTATGGATAGGTATTATATACGCAGTTATTCACTATGTCAGGAAGATATTATTATTCCAGATATAGTTAAATATTTTAAGTACAAGATTAAGAGATACCCGGGAAAGGTTTTGGAAATATTATTATTTAATAATACTATTTTGAAAAATATTTCACCAGGAACTGAAATGACCGCGGAGCGGTCATGTCATCTCCTTGTCAGCCATCGCTCCACTGAAAACCGGACCGTTACACACACATTATCGATGTGGTGTAAAGTCTAACTAATAGCTGACGACGAATACCATCCCAAAAGTTGTTACCAATGAAAAAAAATAATCTACTTTACCCTCAGTTAACACATTAAATATATATATATATATATATATGTTGTCATATTCATATACAATAGAGTGATGTTTATTTTTGAAATCTTGAAAATTATTTTTCTATGGTTTTAAAAATTATATTTACAAAAATTGACCTTGAAATTACATAATTAATGCGGAGCACTATTTTTGAATAGCTTCTAAATTAAATTATGTGAAGTAAATAAAGAAACAAACAAAAAAGATAGACATTTTTATATATTTTTAATTCAAAAGCGTATAGACACAATATCCAATAAATGTTTTTAAATAATTATTAAAAAAAAAATTAATTTACAAAAATTCTATTCTTAATGTTAAAATTGTATTATAATAAATAATATGAATATGTATACTAACTCTAAATAAATTAGTAATTTGTTAGCACACATTTAAACACAACCACAGTATTTTTAGGTATGAATATTACAATAAATAATGAACAAAATTGGCTATTGTAATTTATATTTTTTATACTGTAACTATTGCTTTTTAGATTTTTGACATGCATTTCAGATTAATAATTTTAATTTTGTCTTTAGTCCAATATAATATTAACTTTATAGATTGTATAATTTCACACACACCATATTTGAGTTACTTAATTAATGTAGTTGAACATATGTGCATTCAAAAAGGATGGCAGTCTATGGAAAATTTATATATAAATCTTGATTCAGATAAAAAATTTAGTGGTACAGATATAATGGCACAACAAGTTGACTGCGATAATTTGAAAAGTATTTTCTGTAATATTATTCATTTTTTAAACTACAGGTATAACGAAGTGCTTTTAACATTCGTGGAATTAATAAGTATTGTTATTGATATATGTGAAAACTTTTTAAATGCTGAATTATTGGACGATTTTTACAATTCTACAATATTACTTGTTAATGAAGTAAAAAATTCATTAAAAATGTTTGAGAATTTATATAATGCTATGGCATTTATTAGTTACGTAGACCTTACACTTGTCTTTGTAGGGTTAAAAAGTAACCCGTACACCATAGTTGACGACATTTATGAGATAAAAAACCACATATATTTTAAAAAAATTCAATATGAGTTTCTTTATGTTGATCTCGGTGTATTTCTCGAAACTAAAAATTTCATTGATGATGTATCTAAAATTGCAAAAAACTTTCTCCAGAATAATACATTTATTACAAATACTGTTGATAAAATTGATTTTAAATCTAAATTTGATATAGAATATTTGACTAACTACACAGATTTCACAAATTTCATACTTTTCATGAAGCATAAAATAAATTCGTTTTACAATGAAACCATTAAGATTAATTACGAAGGCCTTGGATTTATTCAGTTGATAAATCCAACAGATATTAAGTAAATATAACTTATTTATTGATTCCTATATTTAAGAGTATTCTAAAATTAACATAAATTTCTTATTCCTTAATTACATCCTGGTCAGTAGTTCTTTGATTTATAAGTATAATATATGAATAAATACTAATTACAGTAATTAAATTTAGTGTGAAATTCATAGCAATAATTTAATATTATAATTTTTACGGAGAAGCTATAAAGATAATAATAAAATATTGGTATATTTCGTTAATTCTATCATCGTAGCCAGTGGGAATTGGTTAACATCGCTCACTTCTAAGTCCTGAGTTGGGTTGTAAGACTAACCAGGAGATCCATGTGGCTGCTGTAAATCACATACGACAGCTAATACGAAAACTATAGACTAATACCAATATTAAATTAAACATTTTTAATAAACTAATCTTAAAGAGAAGGACAATATACTAAATCAGGTACATTGATCAGTACAAACCAACTCTTTTATACCACACATGTAACTATCCATTATTATCATATTTAGAAATATTTTTTTTAATAATTGGAATATTTGTTTTACAAATTATATGTATGTAAATTTCTTTTAAAAAAGACATATTTTTAATTTTACTCTTTAAATAAACTTCTATTTTCCATTATTAATAGTTTTAACGAAGTTAAAAATTATTTAACATTTTTTTTTGTATATTTAGTGATAAATAATAAAATATCTAACATTGTTTTATTTTTCATAAAACATTGGCTCAAAACTTTAAACATTTGATTTATCAAACCAATAAACTTGGTATGATTGGTTTTGAAAATATTAAAATCAAAATTTTGCACAGATAGAATTAAGTTTTGTGGAACTAATTAATGTTGATATTTTTTTCCCCAGGAGGGTAGTATTATTAATGAATCACATTATATAAAAAAATAATATCTGCTAATTTAAAATAATTTATTTGAATTTGTGTACAGGTTTAAGCCTCCGATAGACGAAACTATTAATCAAGAACTTGGAATCATGACACTCAATACTTTATTTAATGAGGGTAGTTGGAGTTCATTTAGCCACATAAAAATACAATATGGTGATTTAAAAATAAGTGCCGAAAGTGTGATAAGAGACCAGGTGACAGATCATAATATTCATCTTAAAAAATATTACTTTACTCATATGATGAGATGTAGAGTTTTTGAAATGCTTTTCATTTATAACAAATCATTAACTGTTTTGAAAAAAATATGTAAAACTGCAAAACTTCAATTAGACTTAAATGATTATGTAAAATGTGTAACATGTCTTTTTGACGTAATTAATGGTACAGTGAAAATGTTTGACTTTATAATGACAATTATAGAAAAAATAAAATTATCAACAATTTGGCCAAATGAAAGTTTATATTCTAATTTAATTACAACTTATAATTTAATATATAAGTATGTAGTTGATCTTAAAACTAATAATGTAATACGGAATTATTATGTAAACAAACCTGAAGAAAATACTGACATATTAGCTGATGATTACATAATAAGATTTCAAAAGGCAAGATATTATTTTTGCTGTACATTAATTAGCATAAAACAACAAGACAAAAATCGCTGTTATTCAGAAGGCTTAATGCTAACTACGAGCGATTTGGAAATGAAAATTCAATATTTGGAACTTTCTATTAACAGAAGAATGTCAAATGACACCCGTGTCACCAAGTATGAACTAATTTCAAAATATTTATATAAATTTTGTGATAACTTTATTAAAACCGATTACGAAAATACAGGTTTTAATAAAATACATCAAAATTATTTTTGGCAATGGGCATAGTTCATTTTTGTTTATCAAAGTGAAATATAACATTTTTGTGAATTTCTCTAGTTATTCATTTTTTGTTTTTTAAGTAAACTCTTCAGGAAGCGCAATAAAAATAGTTGAATTTATTTTTCAGCCATTTTATTGTTACATGTTCATTTGATGAATAAATCCATCATTTATTATAATTTCCTTAAGAGTTTCAATATTAAAATATTTTTCGTTTAGTATATAGCTGATTTTGATATACAGTTCGTTTTTTGTTTCTATACCAAAATATGTAAACGCAATTTTATTTTTACTATCTTTTTATACACTTGAAGTTCATAAATTAAAATTAGTATGTATATCATGATGGTGAAAGTTGAAAGTAAAAAACTAAAAAATAATTTGTTTTTCAAAATCATTATAAAAGAATATTATTGTGTTAGTTTTATTTTAAAATTTATACTTAATTTATTATAAAAATTATGATAAAAAATCAGTTAATTTTATTAAGTGCTATTTTAGTGGTTATCAGTGTTTAAATTAATTTAGGGACTACATTAAAAAAATCTGTTTAAGATCTTGGTTAATTTAATTATAAATAAATATATAATTATAGCACCTTTATCAAGAGGCTGACCAATAATCTATAATAATATATTCAGAGTGCCCCAGCATTCACTGATAACTTAAATAACTTTTGTTCTAGTTAATATATTTTGCTCATTTTTTAATGTTATAGGATTCTGGTCAAGTAAAACAAATTAAATGTTTAAATACAAAAAATTATCTTATTTAGTATTTTTAACACATTATTATTTATTCTGTTATCTAATGACAATAAATATAAAATTTAATTTAAAAATTAAAGAAGTAAAAATAAATAACCAGAAATAGGAAATACTTGTTTTATTAATGGTAATAAAATGGTTTAACTACAAACAAAATTTAAAATGTTAATATTAAATCACTAAATGAAAAATTATATATAACTGAAGTACATGACTCGTATACAAGTGAGAATGCACTGCATAAATTAATATAAAGTAACAATGAACAGGTACAAGGTTTGATTCATTTTTTAAAAGGATAAGTAATACAATAATATCAATCTAGTACAAAAAAAAGTAACTTATTAATAACCAGAGTGCTTAAATAATTTAATCAATAATCAGCTACAATTATTGATAACTCAAGCTGAAGCAATAAAAAATACATGTAATTTTATAAACCACAACTAATAACACAAAACATTCATTAAAACTAATACTATACAAATATATGTTCAGAATACTATTCATAATTATATTTTACCAATTTTATATGGTTGTCTGGTAAAAATATACATAAATGTTTGTAATAGCATTATAATTGTAAATAATTTATAGATTTAAAATTATTTTTAAAGGGTAAAATTGACTAAATATTTTTTATACACATTTGTATTTATATTATTCAATAGATAATTAACCAGATATTGGAGAATCGGGCAAATCAAGGATTTCAGACACAAATGAAGCGACTAGTGCTGTTTGTGGTTGTTGATGAGCAAGACAAAAAGGATGAGCAAGCAATTGAGAATAATTAGGACGACTTCGATAATCTTTTTGTAAACTGAAAAAATTTTTTTAATGTTATATAGTTGTGTAAAAAATTAAAACTTAATTTTTAATTACTTACCATTGACAAATAAAATCTTCAAAGTATGATGTAAATATACCAGAAGTCAGTCTTGGAGGTTCATCTTTGACAACTTGTTTAAGTTGTTCAAAAGGAGTGCCCCATGTATCATATGGAAACTTACCAGTAGCAAGTTCTACTAATGATATTCCTAAACTCCACACGTCACTACGGATATCATAATTTGAAGGATTACCAGTAGGATCAATTCGTTCGGGCTAAAAAAAAAAGTGATTATTGTTAATATTATTAAACAACACACTGGGTACAGTAATATTATTTAAGATAACAGTTTAATGCATTTTTACTTATGTTAGTATAGTACAAGGTCAAAGGGACACATTACTTTCTCGATTATGTTGTTTTATTCAATGCAGCCTATTGTATACATGTTTACAGTTTAGTCGTAGTTTTTCTGTCTATCGAGTAAAGTGACCCATTGCTGTTATATTTTATATTATATCTTTTGATATTTTATATTATACACTATTATATTACGAATAATTTCTTAATCTTTTAATTACATAACCTATTCCGTTCAACAATTATAAATAACTCTTACTAAGCATAAGTTTTTAGACATACCGCCATATAAGGTTTACATCCAGCATCAATAGTTTTAGCAACAGAATCAACTAAATAACCAGATATACCAAAATCACACATTTTAACATCACCGTTGCGATTGATTAATATATTTGATGGCTTTACATCTCGATGTATAACTCTCAATTGTGAATAAAGATAATGTAAGGCACTTACAACCTAAAAATTAAATATATTATAAAACTGAAATAATAAACATAATAGGACAATAAATACCGCTACTGTAATAGGACCAAGAATTTGTTCAGATATTTTTCGCCCAAATTTATAAACTTTTGCATAAAATTTATCTAATGAAGTGTCCATAACTTCCATACAAATCCATACATCTCCTTCCATAAATAAAGCTCCATAGAATTGAACTGTATGAGGACAAGCTGATGAACGCATAGAAATATCAAGATCCATGAGCAACCTTTTTTGTTCTTGTGTATTAACTGTTGCAGCTATTCTCTATACAACACATTCATTGTTACATAATCAATATTTTTGATAAATTTCAGATAGCTATATTTAAGATTTTGTTCATTTTCTAATCCTAACCTTAACAGCCATTATTGTACCAGAAGGTATGTGCCTCATTTTTTCTACAATACCATAAGCACCCCGCCCAAGATCGCATATTTTTTCTAAATCACTTGCCTCGACTGTTGTAGTCTTATCACCAATTGTAATAGTAGTACGTTTATCTAGATTTCTAGGAAGATTTCTAAAGAAAAACGTAATTTAGTTAACATAATGATTTACATATTTATACCTACACACTTACACAACAGTTGGTGCATCAGGCATTTGAACCTTCAGGGACGGTCTTTTTTTGCGACCTGCAAACATAAAAATGTTTTTTAGACTAAAATAGAAACTTTATTTTAATTTGTTACTAACCAGACATTCTGGTTTTAGTACAATCTATCTCATGATTATAATAAACCACAATATTTTAATTCAGATGTACTGATTAAAAAATTTAGACAAACTAAAATTTCAATCTAGTCTTCGAAGTAAAAACTACTATCTGGAAACTATGCCTTATAAATTAGTATTTCAATAGGTTTATGTGTACAATAATAAACAATAAAGAGTACTCAAGATCACAAAACAAAATATAGTTTTCACTGGATGTTGGTGAACATTATCAACTGTAAACCACCGTATCAGTAATTAAAGTTTAAACCAATAAAAGCAGCACTAGTATATAGAATCTCTTTGATTATGCTTACTTTTCAAAATTCACCTTTTTAACCCAGTCAAAATATACATTCAACATTGACCATTCAATTATATCATCGTTTATTTTTAATAGAAACATTCTACAAATGAACATGTAAATGTTGACAGCCAATAATTTATTTCATTTCAAATGCAAAGATAAAAGATAAAACATTTGCATAATAGTTAGTTATCAAATGATATTGAGTTCTCAACACTAATATATACAAAATTTTCTCACAAAAGGCATTATAAATAGTTAATACTACTATGTATAAATAAAAAAGTAAAAAAAAAACAAACAAAACTATAGTTATTATGTTGAGACCAATGAATAAACCGATATCGATTTAGACAATACAAATGTATATAGTTAACATAAATTTCCAATAATTTACAATTGGCGCTCAACAACATATTATAAAAAATATTTTGATGCGTTCTATTTTCCACATCTAATACATTATTAAATGCATACAAGTCTCATATGAAATAATATAAGTTATAAAATCATAATTATAATTTACTTTAACACAAAATTACTAAAACATATACAAGGTAGATGTAGAAGATAAATTGAAAGGACAGATTTGAAAAAAATAAAAAAAAATCTAATACAACAGTTTTATTATTACACTAATGTATTAAATTTAATTACTACTTGAATAGATACGTTTCATTAAACATTAACATTATAAAATTAATGCTTAATAAAAAATTTAACATATTAAAAAAAAGTTAATTATAGACGATTTAATAATATGTAATACAAAAGTAGGTACATAAATATCTAGTCTAAATTGTATTTCAATATCCAGATGTCATATGATGTCTATATACGCCATATTATATCAATCTTAACAGTTATTTTAATATACATAAGAAAAGAAATGACACAATTACAGTAAAAATATTAAACTGGAGAGAAAAAAATACATGAAAATGTTCAATATTAATATTATTGATAATAATGTTCTAAAAACCACCCTCAAAACATAAATGTTAAGAATACAATATTAATCAATTTATGACCAATGACTTTTGTACAAATTACAAATGTATACATTATTTCAACGATACAGTCTTGCACAAACTTGTATTAATACAAAATTAATGGATGGATCAGCGACGCCTGTAAACAAATTAAAAATATTGCAATGATGAATTATAAGTTATTATTTACAATGAAAAATTTAATCTATAGCAGCAATAACATCCCAAAGAAAATATAAATTAAAAGGAAAAAATATAAATCAAATAATATAACTAATAACTAATAACTAAATTAAAAAATTTAATGATATAAAATATAAACATATTTTTATGAGATTACAAATAGTAAAAAATATATTTTAATAAATGTAATGTATGAACAAAAAAATAATAAATTATTTAAAATTATTTTATTATTATAAATTCATTAATATTTTCCAAACTTCAAAATACTTCTTTAAGAATATACATTTTTCTAAATAGAAAAAAATTATAAAATTATTTGTTTAGTAAAATAATTGTAAATCATTTTAAATAGAAAATTAAATTTAGCTCTAAATAGCTATTTAAATAAAATTCAAGAAAACTATTTAAAAATAATATTTTGTAATACCAACACGATAAATAATTAAATTTTAAAAAGATGAATCATAAGCCCTTAATTAAAAATTATATAACATATACTAATAAACATAATATTATCTTAATTATTTTTAAATTAAAATAATTATGATAATCATTATCATAATTATAGTTTTAAATGAATAGTACAAATTATCATTTTTTGTATTATTCATATAGTGCTATAAATTGCACAAAAATAGGAAATTTAATCTTTGTAGTAATATTAAAAGGTATATTTTACCTTGTTGTACTTGTAAGGACAAAAAATTTTATGAATTATTTATATTACCAAATAACAAAAAAGATTTATTCAAAATAATTAATAGATTATTTCTTATAGTGTTTATAATTACTTTTTAATAATTATGACTCAGAATACAAATTTTATTTATCCCTAACTAAAGAAATAGGATTTAATATTTGGACAATTTTTGTGAGAACGAAATAAAGAATTTAGTCAAATATTTTTTTCAATAGACCAAACACACAAAATAACTTTACTCAGTAAGTAAAATGGATTTATAAAGTTTAAATCACAATAAAATAATAATTAAACTATCTACAATAACATTAATATAGTTAAATACAGTAGCCAATTTTCAATAAAATAAATCAATAATTAAATAAAAAATGACTAAGTTTAACTTTGATCAACTTCTCACAAAAACCATTAAATTATTATTAAAATTTTTAACTTAAATTTATTATAAAAAAAAATATGTAAAATTGAATTTTTTTTTAATAATGAGTTCTAGACCATTCATCTTGTTACCATTATTTTATAACTTTGTTACTATGAATTCTACAAAATAGATCCTAAAAAATACACACAATTTTATTTCTATTACCTCATGCTGAAAATATAATTATTAATATAATAATATTAACTAAAAAAATGTCCCTAAATGAATTTTAGGGATTTTTCTTTTACCTGAATTTTTATCAATTCCTAGCTCATATTTATACCACCTCTCCCATTAACTTAACACATATTTCAACATTAATTAACAGCAATATAATTGTAGAATTATTTTACTATAACAGTCAACATATATTTGTTGAAATTACCTACAATTTTAGGCATCTTCCTGATGATTATTACTTAATAGTTAAAAATTATATTATAAAAAATATTAATTATTTACAACCCAACCAACCAGTTCTTTATTACAAGTTATTATGATCATAATTCTACTTTACTACTTATAAAAAACTTATTAAATGTCTACGAGATCTATTTTTAAATATGTACCAACAAGTCATTTTTTGTTACTTCTTTGGTAAATCTTGTGTTAGAGAAAATTGGATAAAATCTAATGAATTTCTTTTAAATATATGTATAATTACTTTCTAGCTATGTTGGCAGTCTACACAATTATAAATGACTGTGTTAATTAAAAATTGGATCTATTATTCTAAATTAAATAACCTAAATGTTCAAGTAAATAATTGATCAAAAATATTCATATAAATCATGTTAGACTAATCAACTAATCAATTTGATGCAAAATTATTAAAAATTATCACTAAACCACATTCATCTTTGAATAATTAGGTCCAGTTTGTTATTCATTAACAATACATTTCATAATCCCAAATAAGAATATCAAATTATATAAAAAGGACTGTCTGGCAAAAAAAAAAAACATGATAATAATTTTTTTTGCTTATATTTGGACTAGTACAAATAATAATAGATATATTATTCACATGAAATTATGTACATAATGAAGACTAAAAATACATATTTACATAAAATGCAAGAACGATAAGTGAGATAAATTCAAATGAATAATTTAAAACAAAGAAAATATTTGATGACAGTTAGTGTCTAGGATAGCTATCAAATCTAAAACTTTAGAAATAACAATTTTTTTTTACTTTTGGGAATTCTCAATACAAAACAAATTCATTGTGTTTATTAATTAGTTACACACTAACAATAGTAATAAACGATTAATATGTTTTATCTGTTACACTTAAAATCCTATATTGAGTCAAAGATTTATATCAAATAAATAATCATAACAATTAACTAATAGAAAATATTTCTAACAATAAAAAATTCCTGCAATAAATGTAAAAAAATATAAAATAAACTCATTTTAAACCTCAAATGGGAACACAAATAAATGTAAAAAATATAATATGATGATAAATATTAACAAAATAGTACTATACTATATAATTAGAAATATACACAATATAATATATACAAATATGTATATAATAAATATGAAATTTATCATTAATAATAGCCCCAATAATTAATTGGTTAATATTTCATAAATTGTAAAATTATTTGATATTACTATAATATAATCTTATACTACTTTTTTCAACAAAAATTCTTGCAAATATTGACTTAGCTAATAAAAAACCTATTTTTGACCTAATATTAATAATACATCTCAAATAGAGATCATCTTAACATTATTATTTTTTAACACATTTATTTAATACTACAATTTATTATTATCACAGGTCAGATATCACAATAAGACATGATAGGCATAACAATAGTTTAATGTGTTATTATATTTTTCAATCAGCCTTATATTTTATTCACGATTTGTAAAGAAATTAATAATTGTTTTATAAACAAACAATGTTTAAAGTAAAATTGAATAAAATAAAGTATATCAATTAAAGAAAGGCAGTGAAAAAAAAGTAGTTAAATAATAATTGATGGAGACATACTAAAAAGAAATTGAAAATTGTAAAATTCATATACCTTAAATTAATGCATAACAAACAAATATCACAAGGTTGTCTCTTAAGTATAATACTTACAACCATATTATTACTCACCACATATGTATTAATGTCTAGAACTACGGTGTGAAGATTCAGCTCTATCTTCTCTACGATCTCTTTCACGTTCAATATCCCGATCGGGATCAACTGCACGTCTACTTGAAGCTGGCTCCCTTTCACGTTCCCGATCACGATCACGTTCCCTATCTCTATCACGCTCACGTTCTCGATAACGATCATCATAGTATCTAGAATTTGTGATTAGTATAAGAAATTTAACTTAAAATTATTATCCATATAACAATAATTTAGGGATGATGTTAGAAACTATATAACATTTTAGATATTACCTATTCATTCTTTTCCATTTTTTTTTTCAAATAATATAAGTAACATACAAGTCTATAGACATTTAAAGTATTTTTTTTATAAGGAAACTGATGAAAGGAAATGAAGATTGACGATATTACCTGGATTTAGAGGATACAGGAACAGATTCGGTTACATCAGGCGGAGTGATTTTTCTACTTCGGCTGCTTGCTTTTACAGAACTGTTAAAAAATAAACTAACCCTCAACAAGATTGGAAATTTTTAAAAGTAAAAAAGGCTTCCAAAAAGAACTTTCAGGAATTTGTTTAATTTTTCTAGTTGTCTTACCTGTCTTCTCGACTCCTTTCCCTGTATTCACGATCCCTTTCCCTTTCCCTTTCTCTATCACCATCACGGTCTGTTGCATAGTAACGATCAACATACCTGTCAACATATCTTTGTTATGGCAACACAATAAGCATGGTGTTTAATTTATATGGCAAAAGTATCATTTATTAAATGATAGTACAACATAATATTTAGTATTTACGCATATTAAACTTCTTTTATTTTTGCAGACCAAAATCGAAAAAAATTTTAAAGGAATAACTATAGACTTGCAGCAAATTATTTTAGTAAAAAAAAAATCATAAATGTCTTACTTATCACGATCTCTTTCTCTGTCTCTATCACGTTCACGACTTCTATCTCTGTAATCACGTTCTCGAGATCTACTACGTTCACGCCTTGATCTACGATGTAATCTGTCACGTGGTGATCTAGATCTCTCTATAAAAAATCATAATGATTAATATGAAAATAATTATAAAAATATTTCTTATATTACCCCTTCTGGAACTATAGCTTTTAGACTCGATACCATGCAATGTATCATGTAAAGAACTGACCAATATTTTACAACGTTCATCATTTGCAACTTTAGACTGCTTAATCAATGATATTGCAGTTACCAAGGTCTCTATAGCATTGGAATATTCACCAGCAGCAGCATCAGCAACTGCTCTTGCAATAGCTGAACTAGAAACTGTTCTATTTCTACTCATTATTTCTTCTAATTCTTGTTCAGACATTCCCAATTCATTGCCCATGTATGGCCGAGAAGCAGGCCCACCATTAGGTGGACCATATCCAGGAAGACCTGGAGGCCCTTGAGGTGCACCACTTGGCTGTTGAAAAAATGCAGGATTAACATGAGGGGCTGGAGCTTGACCAGGACCACTTGACATCATTTGAACAGGACCTATCACAAAAATTTGTAAAAAAAATGTTTGTGATTGTAACATTGATATTTTTACCAAATACAAAAAAAATTGTAAAAAATATATACCTTGACCAGGAGGAGGACCTTGCATAGGTGGACCTTGTTGATGTGTAGAAAAACTTGTGCCTGGAGGCGCCATTTGATGAGGAGGCATACCAGGAGGACGGTTCCAATCATTACGAGGACCCGCAGGTCCTGGAGGGCCTTGTGAACCTTGAGGTGGACCCATTCTTGGAGGTCCTTGACCAGGGGGATACTACAAAGAGATGAATATATTGAGAAATATGTTTAATTAATACTCAAATAACTATACCATTCCTGGAGGAGGTCCACGTGGCTGTCCAACTGGTCCTTGTGGTGGCATTACTGGTCTAGGTCCACCTACAAAGTTATTTTCTTAAATTAAAAATATGATTTTTAAATATTTTTAAGTATATAATTACCCATTTGCTGATTTGGGCCATTCCATTGATTTTGATAACCAGGAGGTGGTGGTCCCTGTTGATGAGGACCCATTGGACCACCTGGTTGCATAGGCATTCGATGACCATTGGTCATGCCCATAGGTGGTTGCATACCTTGAGGAGGTTGTTGCATACTTTGCATAGGCATTCTGGGTCTCATACCTTGCTGTTGCATCATTGGCTGCTGCGTCATCATAGGGCCTCGCATTGGTTGCTGCATAACTTGTCCAGGAGTTCTAGACATACCCATACCAGACATGTTTTGATTATTAGGCGGAGGCACAGGTCTAGTTTTAGATTGTGATTCAAACTGAAAATGTTTAATACAATTTTAATGAAAGTTTTAAGTAAACAAGTGTAAGTAACTAACTTGTAAAAGTGCTTGTTTAGTCGGGAAAGTGACAACTGGTGATTGTCCATGTAATTCTTTTTTGGGTAATCTATCCATGACCAACCGTAAACTATGTTCTGAACCCAGTGTAACAACACAAAAACCTTTAGATTGCCCATTGCCTCGGTTTTCAAAAAATTTAACTTCTATGAAATCTGACACACCAATACTTGTAACGCTATCTGTAATATCTTGATCAGTAGTCCACTGAAATTGAACAAAAACTTAAGCATAACCATAGTATTAACCTTAATCACTTGATCTCTTTTAAAATAATAATTATATTAAGAAAATTATTATTATTATTATTTTTTTTTTTCATATATTTCTTGATTTATTAATTATTAATTACTTTCTAATTAACCCTTTATACTAAAAATGTAAATGTGGGGTGACACAGTGAATCAATCACCACTTTAGTTGATTTATAATAATGCTGTTTGTTGTTATTTCCCGAATGGATGAACAAACAAGAACTTTAACAGTGAACATACCTTGCCCCAAAATGATTCCCTCAGCTATAATAAGAATACAAGTCTACAACCGGTGTAAGAATCTTATTAAGTCATAAGGTAGAGTCAACTCCAAATAGTTGGTATAGAGGGACTAAGGAAATGATGATAATAATAAAATAAAAAAATGATTACTATGTTAATATTATCTTATTTTAAAACAAATCAAGTGAATAACATTAAAAGATTCAATGTGTATAAGTATAAATTGATTCATAACAGTAAAACTTATTTAATACTAACCCATGTTAAATTTCCAATATATAACTGGTACCTACGACCAGTAGTAGTATTATTACTTGTAGTGCTATTATTGGATGAACCATTTGTAACCAATGGAGTACTATTTTGGCTGTTAGAAGTAGGAGACGCATCAGCTTGTCGAGTCTGGGTACTATCATTAGTCCCAGAAATGACGTCATCATATAAATCTACATTGTCATTTCCCGAAAACTCTTCCTACAATTTGAACATTAAATAAAAACTTATAAAATGTAACTTTTTTGAATTTACATTACAAAATATGATACAAGGGTCATTAATTGCAACAATTTACCTAACCTATTATTCATAAGATCGTCAGCATTTCATTTAAATTTTATCAGTGAGCTTTACTCACAAAACAAATATTTAACACATAATACTTAACAAGTTAATAATCCAAAATGGAACACACCATTTCTCAAAAATTTTTCTTACACAATAATCGAGTTGTCTAAGAAGTGTATTAATCAATTTTCACAAAACTTTCTAGATAATTATAATAGTAGAGTAGATATAAAACACTATCACTAACTGTTTAGTAATTATTGAATAATTACTAAATAATGAATCATAGTTTGGATAACGATTTGCTATATTTTAATAAATTCTTTTGTAAAAATCATCAATGACATAACAGAAGATTGCTATCGAACAATTTCACAGTTGGTTCAAAACAGTAGAGGTAGGACACGACATTGACACACATGACAGAGATTTTTCAATTAAACCCTTAAAGTTGAAAATTATGCAGTATCCAAAGGTAACTACCATCAGCCAACGCCGTCCGAAACCGGCAAGGCGTCCGTTTCCGGGCGTGCGTCCTGTACAATGGCGTGTCCCGTTTTCGAACTTTATGATTAAACAGTATTTACCTGTGCAAAGTCTTGTTCTAAATCGTCGGCGTACAAATCTATGTCCACGCCGTCGGCCATTTTTGTCATATTCTATCTCGGTCGAGAACCTCGACAACACACCGCACGGTGGGATGGGGGAACACGATGGATGAAATTTGTTGTTTAATGTTTACAAGGGACGATGCGGACAGTAGACCGGCGACAAAGCGGAATCGCGTACAGTGTAGTCGTTCGCTAGGAAAAAATATAAAGCATACGGTTGCGACGCTTTGTTGAACCATGGTTTTCAATTGTCATGGAAGAAAAAATTGTTAAAAATGACTGCGATAGAAACCCGCGAAATAAATGTTACATGACTTTTGACTTAAGAGACCAATTACTCATTGAGTATAAGTCACCATAAAGTTTTTCTTTTTTCAATCATATATTGATATAACAAGTTTTAATTTAAAATGATGCAGGTATTCCGTTACTATTTAAAAATTTACCATTTTACAAAAAATTATATTATTTTTGGCGTTGATGACAGATAACTACTAGAAATCATAATTCCGGGGAGTTTTTTTTTTCATCTAAGAGTACATTGTATTAGCTTTATTTTAATGTAGTATTTAAAGTCAGGTTTTTTAGAACGTTATTAAAAAACGAAAAGAAAAAATGTTGACATTATTTTTATGCACCTTAATACATTAGTTAATGATAAAATACCTAAAATTATAAGTAAAGAAAAGACACAGTAGAATGAAATTAATAGCTTCTTATCTACTCATCAAAGATAAAATGCTTTCATAACTCGTTTACTATTTAAACCAAATTTAAATTTGACAAAAATAACTTATTTTTATAAGTTATATTATATTATTTTGCTTGTTTTTCTCTTATATTACTACTAAAACTTAAACTTGATTTAATAATAATTTATTCCCATTTTGAAAATATCTCGAAGTGACGCTTAACAAAATTGTATACTTATTATGGAATTATTTGTTTTCTCAGTTTAAAAAATAATAATTAAAAAACTTTTTATCGGAGAAAGAAAGTAGTAACATTTCATAATCGAATCGTTTGATAAGTATTAAAAATCATATTTAACAAAAAAGATAACTGACTATGTGATACTAAAATATTGTACACGCTATAAATATGAAGGAAGTTAAAGTGTTTTCAAAACTATAGATACAATGAATATATAAATTACGCATTGTTTAAAGTAGAAGGCGGAAGTAATCTAAAAACTAAAATGGATATTTACTAAGTAGCGTGTGTATAAAAGTATGTACGAGATCAAAATTGATAATCTATAATTATAATGCAGGGAAAACTTTTCATCAAAATGGATAGTAATTAAATAATTATTAAAAAAAAATTGAATAAAGTAGAATCTAAGCTACAATTTATAGGTAAATATTAATCATTATAATATTCATTTATAATTTTACAGACGACATTAATAGATAATTACTATTTAAATAATAATGAAAAAATCATAAAGTATATTTATTATTCAAATTAAAAATTATTTTTGTCTAACTTTTTATTAATTGTATAATTGTTCTAAAGCGAAATATAGTAAAGGAATTGTTATAGGCTTATGGTAATCATTTTTTCTCTTATTTATAAAATTTTAAATATAATTTTCAACCATTAGTATATTTGACTTCTTATTTCAAAATGAAAGTTGCTACGTAAAACTCAGATTGTGTCAAGTTAACATTGTCAACACCTCAGAGATTTAATTTTAGTTATATTTATGGCCGGCGGAAGGGCAGTCACCAATACAGTTGCCTTTAACCCCGTGCCTCACAAGACTCCACAAGAGTAGATGAAAACAAAAAATGCCCTTTTTCTTAAAAAAAAGAAAATGTTACCTGCAATATTTAGTGTCAGCAATAGTTATATCTATTGATAATTATAACTTTACCATGGTATTTAACCTACAGAAATCACATTTAAGATGATTGTTACATTCCATTCACTTCATTTAAGGCCCTATGATAAATAGCAATATTTATAAACTAAATAAGAAGTTAATTTTTATTGTGTTCAAAAATAAAGAGTTAGCCAAAACAGTTATGGGATGATAAAATATACCCAGCACGCACTTGGCCGTTTTTCTCTATTTTGTTATTATTTAATAGTTATTTAAGCTAATGGTATATTTGATTGATAATTAAAGTAATTACCACAATATCATTTCTTAAGACATTTGTCGCAATGCCCTCCTTGAATTAAACAAATTAAGATTGCGTAATTGATAAATTATAAGAACTATCTCGAGATAATCATTTACTTTAATTCAAATATTTCTTGTGTGTGGTAAATAGTAAGTAATAAATTGTTTTTAAAACTACCTATAATGTGTATAAATTACTGTATGTCCGTTGGCATTCGCACGTTAAATGACTTTTGTAATAGCCTTTGGCTTTATTATTGTATACAGTTACTATTATATCGAATATTTGAAGACAGTATTTATCTAAGTTTTAGTGTACGATTTAAAATAATTTATATTAATTGATATGTTCTTAACAAATACTTTCAATTTATTATAAATTGACTACAATTTTTATGGTTTATTAAAAACTGTATAAATTAATTTTATTATTTATCTAAGAAATATAATGAATACACATATCTACTCTATTAAATTGTAATCAAAATAGTGTGAAGTATTTTTATAACCGCGGGAGTTCCTATGAACAACCCTGCATAACTTAAGATGAAGTTATGGCAAGGACAAGAATAACAACAAACAACTATGTGAGGTTCAAGGTAAATATCACTTTTAAAGATTCCATATTAACTGAAACCAATTTTTCACGAACCAAGTAAAACGCGTTCCGCATAAAACATTTGCTTATATACTGATGAGAAATACGATATTTCATAATAATAAGCAGGAGAACTCGAGTGAAAAAAATACACCAAGTGATCAGGAAATATTCATTTCCCATATAGTCATTAAAATTGAGACGACCCAAGGTTAAAACTATCGCAACGCCCACATCAAATCGGCCACAATGATATAGTACTACTATATTGACCCTAGCGAAAATAAATAAGTTACAAATTTTAGTTATTCTCTTTTATACAAGAAAATTGTTTGTATACAGTTCAATATGTATAAGAATCAAGGACATTAAAAGTAGATATTTGCTTCCTGTTAAATTTCCCATAAAAAAAAATTTAGGCATGTAATACGGTAAGTAAAATTAATGGCATATAAAAATATAAGACATAATTAATATCTTTATATTATCATTAAAAAGAGTTTAAAAAAATGATCAATTTTGTTGAGTCTTAAATAATTATTTAAAAAAAGTATGGTTGGCTAAACTACATCAATCCATTAGTTTTATAATAAAGTAATATTATTTATTGTTTTATCAATAATCTCTTACGTGTTAAGAGAAAAATAAAAAAGGATCAATTGACACCTCAACAATTTGTTACTAATCAAGTCTATCATACATATATTGATATTTACAATTTATTTTTAGTCATTAAAATTGTATAACATATAGACAAATAAATAATGATATTTTTCATTTATCTACACTATTTTTATATTATATAATATTTTGTGATGATACAATAATAGTACAAGTATAATATTATTACTGTTTATGAAAAGCTTTTATCATTTTTTCAGTTCTTGTTTTTTTTTAAATAATAAAGAATGTTAAATTTAATAACAATGTTAATTATTATTGACCATGAAAATACCTACACGGAAAAAATTAACGGTTAATATAGTGACAACTCTAATAAAAACAGTTGAAATAACTAAATAAATAGTTGATTAAATTGAATTTTCAATTATTCCAATCATCTTAATTGCAATTATTTATATATTAACCATTTAAATGATTACTGTAACCATATTTTCTTCCGTGTAATTCACAAAATGAACAAAAAAAAACAAAACTTACAATGAGTAACTAAATTATATTATTATTCAACTGAAACTTCCCGAGATCCTGATAATCAGAGATAAAGTTAATAAGTGTAAGAAAACTCATCTTGCTACTTCTCACAGATTTTAAATGTGTCTCTTAAGCACTTTATAAAAAAAAAATTTGAGCTGAGAAAAAGTGGTAACAGACACAAAAAAAAAAAACACATCATAGTAAAACTAATACCTTCTTAGCTTCGCTTCAAAGCTAAAATTGAAATGTTGGAGACTTGTTTAAGTCAAATAACCCATAGCTTATGTATTTTCTGTGCAGTAAAATACAATTTTTTGAATGGTCGTCGAATTACACAAATTTTAAATTCAATTCATAGCAAGATTTTGAAATATCTACAAAAAAATGTTTAACCTTAAACTTTAACATGCATTTGACTAATTGAATAAATTTTTTAAATAATTATCTCAAGAGTAATTAAATAGCATAGCTAATATTAATATTTTACATAAAAATACTTTAGACTATTTGTTAGCAAAAAAATAATTTCAAATTATAAGTGCTGAAAACTAATTATGAAATTATTTGTTATACGTAAATATTTAATTAAGCAAAATGTGTACTACTTACAAATAAGAGTAGTACAAAATTTACTAATTATTGTGTGAATAATTATTTAACATTTATCAATTTTTTAACTATCGATTGAAAGATGTATGTATGTTCTCAAAATATTAATTAAACATCTATTCGCTAGAAATCTCAGCAAGAAAAACAATGAAATTCCAATATTTTTCATCAGCTTGTATATATGCTTATGTAACAATAAATTACTCATTGAAGTTCATTATGAGCTAGAAGCATACTAAAAATCTCAAAGAAACCCTCCTGTAGTGATTTATATAATTACTGCATTATTCTATGATCATAGAACAACTCTTTAAAATCACTACTCAGTATATATAAATATATCTAGTGACACAATTTTACTTATCAGTTAATTTAAAAATAAACCAATCGTAAGCTTTTGACTAGCGATTAACTGATAACATATTACTTAATTGTCTTACATATAGATTTTATTTTACCCGCAGAAAAAAAATGAAACTAGTATTTGCTGTTGTAAATATTTTATTTTGATTACGATTCAGTGAAAGTCTATAAAGAATTCTAATTTCTATATAACTATTGTTTAACATGTTACAGACACTTAACTATAAACTATCGTAATAGACAAATATTAAAACTGCATCCCACAAACTGCAATATGTAAAAGTAAATGTTCAATGTATTTTAGTATCCCTCGACGGAAATTTTAAATCAATGTTTTATGCGTGTCTAGTATAGAAAATATTGAAAATCTTCAAAAATATTTATATTACTCGTAGATCGGATAATATAAACAGATTTGTTCTGTTTGACAGAAATCTAAAAATATATTTATTCTTTGTTCTATTTAAATTCGAATGCGGGTCGTTAATATCATTGTCAGTGTTTTTTAAGTAACTTATCGAGAATCATTGATTTTGTTCAAATTACTCAAAATAAAATACGAGTACATTAAATGATGTCATTGAGTTTGCATTCATTTGCATATTTCTCAATTACACATTCAAACATCTGACACATCGAAGCTATGAAATAAAATTGTCTATTAAATGTTTTATTAAACAATTTGTAGGTCCCATACTACACTTGAAACAAAACATTGAATTAATTATTTTTAAAATGTATTCCGCGAAATTCCCAAGAAGCACCTTAATAGCCCGTGACGGCCGGTTCGCTATTCGGAAATAAAAAAATATTGCCAAGTTCATGATGGTATCCTTGGAAAAATATCGCCTATCGAAAAGAGTCATACATATTTATTCTGGCGGGGAAACTATATAACGGCTGACTACAAGCTCTTGAGATACAGTTTACCAGTTTTCAATTGGCGGTGTGTTTGTGTTCACAGTCTCATTACGCTTAAAAAAAAAAAAAAAAACAAAGTATAATAAACATGTCTGTCGCTCAGAAAATGTTTGTTTGTAGTTGTTTAACAGTAGCAATTACCTCGTTGTACGTTCAAGCAATTCCTGTCCCGAGTTATGTAGAAGTGTATCCAGGTACAAAGACGATATATTTTTTTTTATTTTCAATTTTTAAAAGATTTTTCAAAAGTACAATAAAAAATGTACACTTTAAATTCATCTAACGACGCATAAAAAAAAAATTCTCAAAATATTAAACTTTTGTTTTATTGATGACTGCGATTAAGCCTTCGTAAATCCAATGAGAATTTACTAAAATAAATTTAAAAACAATTTTTAGGAAACGAAAACTTTGTAGCTGCCCAAGTTGTGCAATCTGATGATCAACCAGCCGTGGCACAAGTTGAAATAATGGATCCATCTTCTGCAGTACCTAGACGTGTACGTTCACCAAGTCCTATTTTCGACCTTTTTGGTGGTGCGGATTTAGATTACGATGAAGAATCATCGCGTAAATTCCATCATCATAAAAAACCCCATTACCACCACAACCATCAGTCCCACTACAGACCCGAGCCACATTATCAGGGAGGCAGTGCCGGCAGTTTTGCATCGGCCGGTAGCTTCGCTGGTGGACATGGTGGTGGACACAGCCAAAGCCAAGCACAAAGTCAATCGGCTAGCTTCGGAGTAGGACCTTTCCAAGCTAGTTTTTCATCTAGCTCAGCTCAAAGCCAAGCCAACAACCGTCATAGGGACAGAGAAGCGCAGTAAGTTTTTGTTTAAATCGATACTGTAATCAAAAACTGGTATTTATCGAAAGTTACTTATTGAATTAAAAATTATCTTGGTTAACTTCCTTTAGTAGTAAAATATTGTTGTATCAATGATTTATTTAATCTGTAATTTAAAGCTTTATTAGTTGGACAGAATTATTTAAAATACTATAAACAAACTAAAAAAGTAATACTCATCTTCTGAAAAATTATAAATTATAATGTTTTCATTCGCATTGTCCATTAAAAAACTTACTGAACACAATTATCACAAATTAAATAAAAATTATAAAAATATTTAATCGAGGAGTTTTGTATAGGCAAACATTTCGATGTTTACGTTTTGTTTTAGAAAATAATTTAATTAACATTACATCCATACACAATTTTAGCCTTATGAATGTGCTAAAAAAAAGCAAGCTGTGATTGAAGAATGGAAGGGGCATTATATAAAAAAACAGTTCTAGAATGTCAATTTTTTATTTATATTTTAGTTATTTAATCTAATAAGTAACTTTATATGATTTCTGTTGTAATTTTTATAATATTGGCAATAATATACTTAATTTATTTATTAAATTTTCTTGTGATTTTTTTTTTCAGGTACTTCGATGATTAATAACTTATCTTCGACTCTCAACACGTATTATTTGTAAAATATTTTAATTGAAGAATTTTAATTTATTTTCAATTTGTAAATGTGCCATTGAAAACTGTATATATAGCTACAATTATGACACAAAATCTCAATTTTAGCTGTTAGACTAGTCATTATTTATTTGAATGTCTAACTGAATTTAATTGGACTTTAATGTTCATTGATAATAAAGTTAAACTACATATATTTTTTAAAACGCTTGTATGTTGATTTATTTTAATCGTACTGATTCCAACAGTTCAATTATTTTCCTTTTTTACTATAAAATATTTTTATCTAAATAAATAAAAATGAATGCATGCATTACGTTGTAATGTAATTTGGTGTAAATTTTTTGTTATCTTTTAGCGTTTTATATATTAGGACATTGACATAACCGTTAAATGAAATTAATTCCAAAATTTTTCATTCGAATTAAATGTTATGAGACTATATGTCTAAAAGTCATTTCAAATGATATACACACTAGAAAAATTAATGTTTTTTTGAGCATGTTAAAGAATAAATAATTTCATAATTAAGCTAACAATAATTAAATTATTAACATATCCAAAATGTATGTAAGCGTGTAGTGGATGAACTAACTACAATTGTCAAAAATGAAATATTGGTAATCATTGCCGGCACGCCGTTAGGTTTTGTGAAGTCCGGGGTATTTCATACTTGCGGAGATATTGTTTTAGATAAGAGGGATAGATCTAAAAATATGTCTCATTTGTTCTTTATAAGCGCCGCCATTGATTGTATTTATTCCATTTAATTCATAGAATGCAAACCTTTTGAATTTAACTCTGCATTGTTGAAATAATTACAAGTTCATTTATTTTTCTCCGGGACAACTCTTTTCAATATTGATTATAAAATCAATTAATTTTACATTTCTAGTTTAATCACACAACCTTAGTTAATGTAATTAATGCAAACAATAAATTTATTGTTGGCATATTTATTATCATATTTTGAATAAACCACCAATTTAAGTTGGCAAACATGAATTTGTTATGAAGTGATCAGTAGTTAACTTTGTTTCAAAACAAAATTATGAATTATAACACACAAATAAAATAGTAATTTCTAAATTTAAGAAATTGCACGATTAAAAAAATAACTCTAGCTTTGAATTAAAAAACATCAAATTAATAATTTGTCCAAAGATAACATAGTTTACCAACCTGTCGTTTCAACGGGTAATCATTGCCGTGACGTTTTCCACGTCCACAGCACAGCCGGCAACGTCATTAAGCCCATTGGACGTTTTCGTGGACGCTCAATGATGAAACGATACTGTTAGACGTGTCCGTTACACTTATTAGTTGAACTCATAGTAAGTTAGGTCGTAGGATCATAAAAAATATTTCAATATGAAGCTCAAGTGGATTTTATTTTTGTGCATATCTATGATTATTGCTACCAGTGGTTAGTAAAATTAATTGATTTTAAACATTTTTTGTTTATAATCAATTTTAATAACGATCTATTTTATCTATTTGCTATGGAAAAATAGGTATGGTGCGAGCTGAAGATGAGATTGATGGAGAAGATGATATGTCTGTTAGTGAAGATCAGGTACTTAGTGATTCTGATGGAGAAGAAACTAATACTGATGACTTGTCTGAATCCGATGCTGATACATACTTATTATTTACTAAACCAGTGTTTGAAGATAAAGCTAGTATAGGTAAGATACAAATAATTAACTAATCAACTGATATTTTGAAATATGAATCAATAGTATTAATTTTATTTTCATATAGTTTAAAAGCTCTGTGCAAAAACGAGATAACTATTTAAAATTTTTCAGAAAGTTAAAAAAATACATTTTTAATGTATTTTTTTAACATGTATAGAAGAAAATTTAAAATAAAAACTATTTTTTTGTTTAAATGTATTTGTCATTATAATCTTACTTCAGAACTATCAAAATTTGATTTAAAAAATAGGAATTGTCTTTAGCACAGAGCCCTTCAATTACTGTATTACCTTATGACATACTTATTAAATTATAATCGATAAACTATAAATTGCTTCATTTTAATTTGACATTAATAGTTCTTAAAATTAATACCTAAAAGCTTATTTTTTTATCCCATGTTATTTCTTCTAAAGTTCATAAGCCGTTTAAAATTCTTAAATTTGTCAAAAACACAATTGACTAACATGGATAGAATAAAGTTAAATGAGCTGATGAATCTATAGTATTTCTTAAATAATACATTAATACATTGTAAAATAATAGGATACAGATAAATACAAAAATTATTTTTTTTTTATTTATACACTATATTAGATACCTGTGTTGAAAAAACATAAAAATTGATATGATTTTAAGCTATTTCATTAATATATATTTTCAATTACTATGATTTATTAAAATATATTATACAAAACATAAAAATATTTTTAAGCATAATTTTGTAACAAGTTTATTTTAAGTGACATTTGAGTTTAACTACTATCATAAAGATTATCCATAGAAAGTGCCTCCAATTTATTCTTACTTGGTTATTTAATTATTTATCAAATTTTTTATTTATATACTTCTAGAATTACCAGCTGGTCGTTTGTCAGAATTTCTTATAGGCTTTATCAACAAAGGTTCTCAAGAAATAGTCTTGGAAACATTGGATGCTTCCCTTCGTTATCCAATGGACTTCAATTTCCATATTCAAAATTTCAGTACTATTATTTTAGATAAAGCTATTCCTCCTGGTTCTGAAGCTACCATTGGTTATGCTTTCATTCCTGCTGATGCTTTTGCTGGCCGCCCTTTTGGTCTTGTTATTAATCTGGCCTACAGAGATTATGTAAGCTAATACTTTCATATATCCTTTTACACTTGTTCAAATTTTAATTAATTTTTATAGGATGGAAAGCAAACAATTAACAAATTGTACAATGATACCATTAATATTGTTGAAGTTGAAGAAGGTTTAGATGGAGAAACTTTATTCTTATATTTGTTGATGGCTGCAGCATGTGTTCTTCTTTTGGTTGGTGGACAGCAATTATTGTATTCTGTAGGTAAGAAACGTAGTGGAAGTTTACCCAGCCGTGCTAGAGCTAATGTAGAAACTGGAACTAAGAGTACTAAGCAAGTGGATATGGATTGGGTACCTAAGAATGTCATCAATCATTTAAGTAAATTACTTTTAATAGACAATTATTTCATTATACATAATGTGCTTTATTTTTAAATATTTTAGATAAACAAAAGGCTTTAAGTCCTAAACAAAAACGAGTAAAAAAAACTGAATAAAGGAACAATAACAAATTGCAACATGATAAATTCATTCTGCGTCAACAACCTTGTAAAGACCCAATTTCTTTATATTTAAGATAGGGAAGTTTTACAGTTATAAGTTCCGTGTCTAACTGGTATAAATTGTAGACAGTACATAACAAGTATTAAATACTAGTTTGTGCTTATATATTTTTGTGTAAATAGGAACATAATAAATTTTTCTACTATTGTAATTATTATATTTATAATTTTGTAATTTTTTCAAACAAAATTATATACGAATGTTGAGTTATGTTTGTGTATAGTATGGTCTTATTATAAAAAATTTTTCTAAGATTAAAGTTTTTATTTTGCCTGTTATTAAAAGTCTTTGTTTTTCTAATAATTTTAATAAATAATTGTAACTTGTATTTAATTTAAAAAAATCTTATTTTCCAAAATTAATTTGTCTTGAAGTTTATTTATTAATATAGTTAGTAAATAAAGTGCCAACATACAGTAATTTTCTATTGATTCTTTAACATTGGATATATTGATAAATTACGCCATTAATTTATGCACTTAACATTTAAAAGTAATTATCTAGTTATTAGAAAAAGTATTTTTTTGTTATTTTAACATTTTTTTAATTTGATTAAATTATCTAAAAAAAAGTAATAATGTAATTTAAATCAAAATATAAAACTGTTTTATAAACAACGTATCATTAAAATATGGGTGCTATTTTTAAAAAGTTGATATATATATTTATTTCAACAATTTTTCAGGATTCAGAAAAACAAAAGAAAAATTTTATTGATATTATATTAAGACCTACATATTTTTTTTGTTAAAAACAAACCTAATATTAATTGTAATTCAATGTGATACAATTAAAAAACTTCTCATCATACAAATTATAAAATAAATAAAATGTACATTTTAAAATTTTTAAGTGTCTGTAGTTTTATACATGTAAAATGGTAACTACTAGATTTGGCACTAGACCATCATTAGGTAACAATTAAACATTGTTGAAAAATAAATAAAACAACGAATAGATAAAAAAAAGACAACAAAATTGATATTAACTCAAAGTATAAAATAATATTGTATGAAAATAAAATGTAATAAGTAAGATATGATAAAACAGTTTACAATGAAATACAGTTTATATTAAATTAACACCAATCAATTTTATTGGTATTAAATAAAAAAACAAGGAAGTCACGTTTTATTTTTCTTTGTTATTTTTTTATTAAATAGGAAATACTAAATAATGTTATTTTGTAGTTTTTATACACTTAACATGTGATTCGTATACCCCAATCTACTCAATTACTTACAAAATATAAGTAATATCGAAAATATTTTTTTGGATTCTTTAGTTTCAAGTACTTTTTAGATCCATACTTTATATCCAATAATGGTGTCAACTATATTTTTTTCAATGACAATCTATAATCTATGTATACTTATCTAGTTTATACAATGTACAATAATCGACTAAATAAAGAAAATAGTAAATTAAAAACTCTTTATTAAAAATATCCAACATTTTTCAAAAATTTTACCCACTAAAAGCTAGATAAATATATATTGAATGCGCGATAGTACCTAAAAATTTGAAAAAATAAACAAGTTTATTGTTTAAAAAAAAGTAACAAAAAATATTCTCTGAATTAGTCACCAAAACGCACCTTAAACACTGAACGTCGAATAACGTAAAATGAATGGCTATTATAAAATTATTTTTTTGATAATCATTATTACAAATGTTCAAATATTAAGGAAATTATCATTCTAAATACACATAAAATAGGCAACTAAACATTCTTATTTGTAAATTATAATTCACTCAATAATTACACGGTGTAAGCAAATAGTTTTGTAAGTGGCTAAAATAAATTATATTTACTGACTAGTTTTAAATAAAACTTAAAATTGATTTATATTTGTATAGAATATAATTATTTATACTGAATATTTCTTATAAATCACTTTATTCTAAAAAAAATATCTTACGAAAAAAGAATGTTTAAGATCATAATTATTTCTAGGCANTTCTAATTTTATTCTAAAAAAAATATCTTATGAAAAAAGAATGTTTAAGATCATAATTATTTCTAGGCAACGAAATTTTAACCCAAAAAACTTATATAGAAATATTATTTTATTGTATTATTTCAATTAACTTATTTTCATAAGTATAAGATAAGTAATTAATTGTCAGGTCATAAGGAAATGTGCCTTAGTAAATTTAATATAATTTTGAAGAAATCCATTAACCTAGTTTGCATGGGGGCTGTGAATGTATTGAATTTTTGGAGAAAGGGGAAGATAAAACATTATGGTAAAGAAGCTTTCCAATAGATTTATTATCTAAAATTATGAAATAACTCCCCATACAAAGTTTTCAAGATAAGCCCTAGAGGAAGTCACTTTGATAATGTTAAAATATGTTCTTTTTTTAAATATAAAATTAAGAAGATTTAGTGGGTAATCAAATAATTTGTTCTCTTATTGAGTAAAATCAATGTAAAAAATAATTAGCACTACAATATATCAAATTTTCTATCGAAAGAATTTCTATTCATCTTCCATATCAAAACCAATTTATTAGATTTGTGATCTGAATAAAAAATCAGGATACTTGTCTATTGATTCCTCCATAAAATAATTAAATTTATATGATTTTTTAATATTTAACATACCAAATATTAAATGGTATATATATTTTTTTGTTAATAATTACTAGTAATTAGCAAAAAAGATTATTTAAGTATTTAAGTGATGTATGAAAATTATGTTCTATGAATTATTTAAGTATTGTATTATCATATAATATTATTCAAACACACAACTTGCAAGGTCTTAGCTAGGTGAAACTATTAATAATGTATGATTAGAATTTCATTGATATGTTTTATTTGTACCAAAACATAAATTATATGATCGAAATCTTTTTTACACTAATCAGACATTTTATTGCAAATAAATAAATCCCGTAGGTTTATTATTGAATTAATTTTAAATCTTCACTTTGTATTATGATTTTATACTAATACTATTTTATTGATAAGATAATTTATTGCTAGATCTGCAGATTTAAATTTTGCTAAATGCATTGTAATATGAGTGTAGTATTATAATCTGATGTTTTTATCTTTTAAAGGTTGAAATCGTTCTTTAATTTGCTTTTTAACGATGTTAATTTATGCATTATTTTATCAGAACCTTAAATAGATAACTACACAGCACATGTAAATATAAAGTTTTCAAATCTTTGCATGAACGTGTTACGTTTTACTTGACATGATAAATAAATACATATGTATTCTACAAAATCCATAAATAATTTAGTTATGGTCGATGATTAGTTTAAGCTTGATTTTATACATAATTAAAGACGATTTGTCATGATTAGGATCAAATTTTGTTCTAAGATTGTGAAAGCCATGTTTTTGTATAGGCAAATATAAATGAAGAACTAAATCTGGTCGTCTAAAGTTTTATTCAATTTGATTAGCTACTACTAGAACAACAGTTAAAAAAGGGGGCGTCATTCAGGCTAATGCTTGCTTTTATTTTATGCTTTGTGCTGAAAATACTATTTTCAAAATGGTATTTTAAGATTTTTTTTTTTTATTGAATGTCGTTTTTATAAGTAGTAGTAATAGAACTCCTTAGGTTCTTGATTTCCAATGATATACCTACCAACGCATTATTGAAATGACATTGTAGTCGCAATGCATTGGAAATATTCTAAGAAACAAAATGTCGAGATAAATGTGGTATCTGTTGTTTATATACCTATGTTGTTTATATACCTATGAAACAATTTAATTTTTTTTCAGTATGGACTACAGAAATCTGTCTAAAAAAAATAAATTATACATCGAGAGATATTTAGCGTATTTGGACTATAGTACCTTTCAATTCTTATCTCTTTGATTTTTTTTTACTTATTACACTATTATACTGGTGTACAGATAAACACATACGTTCACGTTTCAACACAGGTGTAAGGTATCCAATTCTGCTATTTAAATTAGCGCATAAATAAATTCAAATGAAACAAATATTATAGAATGATTTAATTTGCGCACGTTATCTATGTATAGTAATAGTATAACAGTTTAACATGTGCCAACAGATATGTGCTTATAGACATAAAAAATGCAATATTGTAAAATGCACATTATTATTAATGGCCACTACATTATCTGTAGTTATCGACAGTAATTTTAAAATAGTTGCCAACAACCTTCGTTTAATGATATCTAGTCGTGTACTTAGAGTAACGATGCAAGCAGCAATAATTTATTACAAAAAATGTCTAGTAATACATTTTTCAATTATGTTAAGGTTAGTCAAAATAATGTTATCAAAAGCACAACTTATTTTTATAATACTCGAAGTGTATTATTTTGTAGGAATTTTTGTGACTCGGTAACATTACCACCAAACACTATAAATATTCAATTAATAAATTTGTAGAAAAATGACACTGCTAAGTTAATATTAAATAGTCATAGTGGTTTAGCATTTATTTGATTTTTATCATTTTTAATTGTAACACCTTCTTTTGATTAACAACAAATACTTTTATGGTTAGCCATTCCTAATGAGTAAACTATATTCATAATTTCAAACAATGCTACATAAGGCATGTGTTTCTTGGCGAATTATTTGAAATAATAATAATAAAGGTTTATGTAAATTAAAAAAAAAAATCAGTTACTTGTGTAATTTTTAACTTTAATTGATAACATGAAAAAAATTACAAATATCGTATGAAATTGAAAGTTAATTATTTAATTTCAGCTATTCGCCTTGCAATGTGCAGAAATTTTTTCAAATCATGAAAATTACGGTTTGGAGAATATACGAATTTATTATCATACTAATTATTAAATATTATAATTTATTTTTGCTAATGCCAGTCAATACAAGCGAATCGTAAAAAATATGTATAAATTACAAATATGTACTAACGTAATGACATTAGTTTTTATTACGTAATCTTTAATTATTATTCCGACACACTTAACATTTTTTTGCTTAACAAGTTAACACTTAAAAAAAACGATAATTCAGAACATTGTTGAAAATCCTAATAGCGAGTTTAAAAAAAATATGTATGATACTCATATCCCCCGTGAGTGTTTTTTGTTAAAAATATATGATTTTTCATGACACCCTAAAAAGTACAATTGTTTTTTTTGTTTTTATAGCAAATATTTTACACTTCCCAAACAGCGAGTAGTACATTTGACCGTTGCCATTTAAATGCACTTGGACATTCAAACTGATACTGAAAGTTGTTAGCGACGAGTAAAAAGTTTGTCACTTAAGGTCGAGGTCTCTATCTCTTTCTGTATATGTGTGTGTATTATTCGACTGATGACTGTCGACTACTGTCGTATGAATCATATGAGTAGTGTACACTTACGCTTAGTGAA